TTTAATAAAAATATTTTATATTAAGAAGAATGAAGATGCATATCACTAGTTAAAAGGGGGGGGGGTCTTGTTGAAGCGGAGGTGAGCGAGCGAGCCGGAGTGGAGCCTGGGTTGAGGCGCACCAGGCGTGCGCCTTTTGAAAGGGTTGGGCCTAGGACCTGGGCAAGGTGCCTACCCTAAAATGCACCTCGCTTGTGCACCTAGGCACACCTTTTAAATCACTAGTTATGATGTTAGTGTTTATTGAAGGAAAAGAAAGAGAAGCTTGTTAGTTTATGACTGCAACTAATTGGGTGCTCCTGAGGCCAACCAAAGTGTGGCTTTTCCTACTACCTCTAGTTTTGATTCGGATCTTGTTATTGCTTTGTGGTATCACTCTTTTGTTTGTGCTTTGTCTTTTGTCTCTACTCTTAGGTTCTCAGAGGTTGGTGTTAACCCCAAATGGAAGGAAGCTATAGATGAAGAAATGAGAGCATTATTGAAAGAAAATACTTGGGAGCTAGTGGGTCTATTAGATAGGAAGAACACAATGGGGTGTAAGTGGGTGTATATAATCAAAGAAAAAGCTGATGGGTTTGATTGAAAGATACAAAGCTAGGCTGATTGCGAAGGGGTTTACCCAAAAGGAAGGTATTGACTACAAGGAAACTCCTCGGTGACCAGGAGTCACCAACCAACATACAATTTGTATCCCAACAACTAAAACAAATCCAACTACCAATATTAAGCATTCAAAGTACACCAAAAGTCAGTTGCAAAATTTTCTTTATTAAGGGCTTCAAATTCTAGAAGTAACACCCAGCTGATAATCCTTGAGCTGATCAATGTGCCTAACTCTTCATTGCTTTTCATTTTTTCCACAAAGATAACACACAACAAAGGGAATATAACTCCATATAATTTTTTGCTTTGGTGTTCCCATGCACTCTTGGCTAGCTTCCAAAGATTTCCTCGTAATCATTGGGCACCCACCCAGCCATATTGAAGAGCTTGAAGTAGGCCCAAATACCTCTTACATAGCCACATTGAACCAGAAAATGCATGTTCTCATCACCCTTTTACAACATGCATCTACTAGGGAATTGAAAGCTCCTTTTCTTCAAATTATCTTGAGTGAGAATATAGTCCATTGATATCAGCCAAGAAAATGCCTCCACTCTTGGAAGAACATGCTTCCCCCAAATAACTTTGATTGAATTAGGCACCACCTGATTTCTAAACAATGCTTTATAAAGAGACTATTAGGGTGTTACTATCTCTAGCAGCCAACTTTTTTGGGGAACTACATCAATTGGATGCCAATAATGCCTTTCTAAATGGGGACTTGCAGGGAGAAGTTTATATGGACTTTCCTCTAGGGTATGACATGAGAGGGAAGATGTGTAAACTCAAAAGGGCCTTGTATGGATTCAAACAATCCCCAAGAGCATGGTTTGAGAGATTATGCAGAGCAATGAAGGCTATAGGATATTGACAGAGTAGTGTTGATCACACCTTATTTTATAAAAGAAATGATGAAAAATTGACAACATTAATTGTTTATGTTGATGATATGGTGGTTATTGGAAATGATGCAAAGGAGATTATGGAGTTGAAAGGTTTCTTAGCCTCAAATTTTGAAATAAAGGATTTGGGACCCCTAAGATACTTTTTGGGAATAGAAGTGGCTAGATCCAAAGAATGGATCTATATTTGTTAGAGGAAGTATGCCCTAGATTTGCTTAAGGAGACAGAGAAGGGGCCAAACCTATTGACATTCCTATAGAACAAAACCACGGATTGCTAGAAGGTGATGAAGAGCCTTATCCTGAAAGAGAAAGATATTAGTAGCCGGTTGGAAAATTGCTCTATCTATCTCTCACCAAACCGGACACTGCATATTCTGTCCATGTAGTTAGCCAATTTATGCATGTTCCACAAGTTTCACATATGAAAGCAGTATAAAGAATCTTGATATATCTCAATTCATGTCTAGGGAAGGGATTATTGTTTAAGAAGCATGACAAAATAGAGGTTAAAGCATGCACTAATGTTGATTGGGCAAGTTCCTGAGGAGATGGGAGGTCTACATCTAGATATTGCACTTTTGTGGGTGGTAATTTAGTCACTTGGAGAAGAAAAAGAAAAAAAAAAGATGTGGCAAATTCGCAAAAGTGCTGAATCTGAATATAGGGATATGGTTCATAGAGTTGCTGAAGTACTTTGGCTTAGGATTCTTCTACGAGAGTTGGTTATAGAAGTAACTGGACCCTAAAGATTTATTGTGACAATCAGGTTTGAATCAACACTACAAATAGGACAAAACATATCGAGATCGATAGAAACTTTGTACATGAAAGGATTGTCTCTGGAGACCTCTATATCCCTTATGTGCCATCAATAAGACAACTAGTTGATGGTTTCACTAGAGGGCTAGACCTGTTCACGGGCCAGGCGGGGTTTGCCTATACACTAATAGAATATGCTCAGGCCTAAGCCCGAGCCCGACTAGAAATTTGGGAAAAAGATTTTTTTCCTTTTTAATTCAATTAAAAACTATTTTATTTATATTAAAAGACCTCAAAACCTAAAAAAATAATGAAAGATCTCATTATTACTTGAAAAAAGAGAAGAAAAATAAAGAAAAAAATATTATATATATGTATATTTATATATGCTTTTTTATTATATAAAAGATATTGTCTAAAACTCACCATGAGTTTTCAGCTTCTCACTTAAATTCACCACAACTTTTCAAAATGTCTAAAACTCACCATGTCACTAATTTGACGTTAAACAGACTAACAGTGTTAATATATTACCATTTTAACCTTCATAGAAAAATATAAAATATATACAAAATAAATTAACAGGTGTTAATATATTACCATTTTAATATATAGACATGACAAAAGGAAAAAGTTCAAAAAAAATATTTTCAAATATAAAATACATAAAAACATAGAAATTACAAAAAGTATAAAATTTTATAGAAATTGCAAACAAAATAAAAAATTATTTTCAAATTATAGAAACTATAGAAATTGAAAAAACAAAATAAGAAAATAAAGATTGTAGAAAAACACCAAAAATTATAGAAAAACATAGAAATTGTAAATAAATAACACAAATACAGGAAAATTTATAGATTGTAGAAAATAGAAAAATTGTAAAAAAATAGAAATTATAACAAAACACTAAAAATGCAAAGAAAACAAGAAAATTGAAAACTGAAAAAGACCATTTTTCCTCTAACTCACCATTCAAGGGTAATTTGGTCATGAAAATTGTTATTTATGCTGACATGGATTCCTCTGTTAAGAAGCATTAACAGTGCACTCACGAAAGTTGAGTTTTGGAAAATAAAAACTTATTGACATGGTGAGTTTTAGACATTTTGAAAAATTGTGGTGAGTTTAAGAGAAATGTTGAAAACTCATGGTGAGTTTTAGACAATTTTCCTATTTTTTATTATATAATACATTATCAAGTTGGGCTCGGGCCGGGCTTTTTTGAGAAAGCATGACCCTGGCCCAAAAAAGGCCAGGCCTGATATTTTAGGCCCGAGCCCTAGCCCATGGGCTTGAAATCCTGTCCAAGCCCGACTTAGATCGGGCCAGCCTGTTGGGCTACCCAGACCATGAACAGGTCTACAGAGGGCTTGCTTATGAAGTCAAGATTTATGGAGCTGTTGTGCAAGATGGGCATGATAGATATCCATGCTCAACCTGAGGGGGAATGTTGTGGAGACTAACATTATGATGGGCTTGGGCCCTCTTATGTTTATACTATGTTAGTTATCTCTATTTCTTCCTTATTGGGCCTAATGGGCTTGGGTTTATATTTGTATTTCTTATTTTGCCCGCTGCCTACTAATCAAGGGCAGATTTGTCATTGTATTTTCTTTCTTAATGCCCTAATATAAAAGATAGTTGAGGGATTGGTTAGATTGAGCCATCCATTTCTTTCAAACCTTTCTTCTCTTCTTATTCTACTCTTCAAGGATGAATGTAAACACCTATGATGTAATTTAATAAACTACTAATATATTAGTTTGGTAATAATTTAATAAAACTAATATTATATATTTATTGTATATTATTAATATATTTTTATTATATATAATATTATTTTTTTTGAAGAATAAGTTAAATTCATTAAAAGAAAGGGCCAGGCTTATTTGAGAAAGCCTGAGCTCGTGGGTCTAAAATTTTGTCTAAACCTGATAAAGAACGGGCCAAGACGGGTGAGCGTGTTGTGCTACTTGGCCCATGAATAGGTCTAGTTGTTGCTACTCAAGGTATATTTGAGGATTCTTTTTTCATCTCTTTGATATTGATATTTGTGAACTAAGATCCTTGGGAGGAATTTTTGCTCATTGACCTACATTAGGAGGGAATACCAAGGCAAAGATTGTGTGGAGTTGTGTACCTTTTGCCATTTGTTGGGAAGTCTGGAAGGAGAGAAAAAGAAGAATCTTTTGAAGTCAAAGCTAGAGGAACGGAACAAAATTGCTATGACTTGTGGAAGAACGATTATCAATTGGATTATCATCTTACCAGAATTTGAAGGGATTTCAAAAGAAGCATTTGGAAATGGTTTTTGATCACTATTTGATCTGGATTCAAGAAGCTGATGTCTTGTATCTGATTTTTTGTTTCTTTTTTTCTCATGTTCTTGGATTGTATATTGGTGATCTCTCATAACCCTTTTTTGATGTACTTTGTCTCTCCTATTAATAAATTTTCATATTTATTACAAAAAATAATTCAATCACGATATTATTCAGTTATTACTGCAATAAAAGAGTAAATCTTAAACTGCGTCAATTGTCTAATACCTCTATCATGTACATTTATGATTCTGTATTCATAATATCTGTTATGAAATTAACAATGAACTAGCATTGACAAGAGGAATTGTTTCAGAAGGAAGCTGAACTCTTTTTCCCCTTCAGTTGGCTCTTAAACTGAGCTTTCTTTTTTATTTTAAGTTTTTTAGATATTCTTAGTGTTTTGCAGAAGAAAGGTCTAGTTGAAGCAAACATTGTAGCTGATGAGACACTTAATACCTCAGATGCTCTTGCACAGGCACTTAGAGAGAAGGTTTAACATGCCTTTCCTTGTCCTTCTGTTTGGCTATCTCTTGGTTTTGTTCAACAATTAATGCATATGGCTTGGTTGTGCACATATAAAGATTCCAATTTCAGTGGATTTTATATTCCCATTGTATCAGGTTGCTGCACTATTGCTTCTATCTCAACAGGAAGAAAGGCATTTATTGGAGAGGAATGTAAATGTAGCTCTCCAGAAGAAGATAGAGGAGCTTCAGAGAAACTTATTACAAGTAAATTCAGTTGACTGTTATCTTATGCACTTCAACTCCATAGAGATCCTCACTGGATATCTTCTTGTCTTAATTTTTATTTTTGGCTAATAAAAAATCTTTTAACAGAGATTTGGTTTGGTATGCTTTTATTTAGTTAAACTACTTTAACTTTTTATAGTAAATTTAAAAAGAATTTCATTAAAAGGAAAAAAGCGGAACAATCTTGTCAGGTATTGACACGTAACACATAACATAAGCAAGGAGAAAATCAAAACATATCATCCAAGTTACAAATTTGCAGTCCTACAATTTCCCCAAGTCTGTCCCCTAAGTCCTCTTTATTGACTTGATCAAGTTCTGGTAAAACCAAGACCCAATCTGGTAAATCTTTGCCAATGACTGCCACCAGCCTCTCCATCCCAATTCCATTTCTTGTGGTAACACCACATATGGATTAAACTTTCTCAATATATTCCTCAGCCAAAACTTCTTCCTTCTCTCAAAGCCTTGACGACGTTCCAAGATGGCAACTTCATCCTCGCATTCAACCCCCCCCCCCCTTTGCACCTTCGAACTTCTCCCTTCACTCCTCCTCTACTAGGCTTCTTCTTGCCTTTCCCCTTCCTCCCACACCTCTCCCCCTTCCCCTGCAACTTTTTATTCTTATCATATTCTTCCCTCTTGCTGCTTTCAAAGTGCTCAATTGCCCTTCTAACCAGTCTCTCCCCACCTAGGAAAAATAAACCAAGTGATTTCCCAACCGCCACCTGCCTATCCACTAGCTGTTCAATTTTCACTCTCCCCTCACTAGTGTCCACACCTCTCCCCCTTCCCCTGCAACTTTCTTCTTATTATATTCTTCCCTCCTGCTCCTTTCAAAGTGCTCAATTGCCCTTATAACCACACTCTCCCCACCCGGGAAAAATAAACCAAGTGATTTCCCAACTTCCACCTGCCTATCCACTAGCTATTTAATTTTCACTCTCCCCTCACTAGTGTGCTCACTATTTGTCAAGTCCCCTTCTTCAAGACCCTTTGTCGTCTCCCCTTCCTCCCTTATTTTCTCCCCCTCTTCTTGTCAAGCCCCCTCCACTCCCCTGAATCGAAATCCTCCTCTTCTTGTTATGAACTCTATGCTACCTCTCAAGCTTATCATCTTCGCCAGATGTCTTCCTCTTCGACTTTATGCTATCTCTCAAGCGTATCATCTAGGCTGATAGATCATCAGGTTTCTGTGGCCCAATGTTATGAAGTTAGTGGTGACAAGGTGGTTTGGAGTCCTAACTCCCAAGTTTAGAAGACTTTTGCATGACCAAGAGCTAGAGGAATGTGTTCTATTGCTGAACAGATTGGAGCACTTTTGCATGACCAAGAGCTGGAGGAATGTGTTCTATTGCTGAACAGATTGGAGCAGACTAGAATCTTGGAGAGTGGGTCTCCAAGATAGACCAAAACTCTATCTTGGACGAAGGCCCCTTAGAAATTTTGGTCTGCTCCAATCTGTTCAGCAATAGAACACATTCCTCCAGATCTTGGTCATGCAAAGGCCTCTAGTCCCTTCAAAACTCCAATCAGCTGCAGTGCCATTCACTAAAACAGAGTAGTGACTTGTTTACAGGCATCCTTTGGTCCACTTACACCATAAGTCCCCAAAGACACACCTTCTCATTATAGTGATTAAAAAATCCCAGTCTACAAGATCATAGGCTTTTTCCAAGTCCAATTTGATTGCCACTCCCTTCCTCTTTAACCTTTTTTGAGCCTCCAAACACTCACTTGTAATTAGAATTTGATCAATAATTTGTCTATTTTGGATGAAGTCTCCTTGGTATTGGGAAATGAGAGAGGGGAGCACCGTTTTAAGAAGAATGGCACTGGAGTTGATTTCATTGAAGGGACTAGAGACCTTAGACAAGGAGACCCACTCTCTCCCTTTCTTTTTACTTTGGTAGCTGAGGTATTGAGTAAACTGATTTCAAAGGCTAACTCTATGCAATTGATCAAAGGTTGGTCAGTTGGGAGAGATAGAGTTTTGGTCTTACATTTACAGTTTGCAGATGATACCTTGATTTTCTATGAAGGGGAGAGCAGTGAAGATGTGGAAAACCTAAAATTAGTTGTGAACTTGTTTGAAAGGATCTCCAACTTGAGAATTAACTAGTCTAAGAGTCTAGTGGTTGGCATCAATTTGGAAGAGAGTGAGTTGAGAGATTTGACTGCATTGTTGGGGTGTGAGACTGGAGATTGGCCTTTGTGCTATCTGGGATTGCCCCTTGGTGGAAACCCTCGATCAGTCAGTTTTTAGGATCCAGTAGTTGAAAGGTTTGAAAAAAGATTGGCAAGTTGGATGAGGAATTATATCTCTTTGTGAGGGAGAATCACTTTGATCAAATCCACCTTGGCAAATCTTCCAGTCTACTACATATTGGTCTTTAGAATGCCCCAAGCTGTGGTAAGAAGAATTGAGAAAATTATGAGGGATTTTTTGTGGGAGCCTGGGGAAGGGAAAAAGGATCATTTGATTAGGTGGGAGAAGGTGAAGCAATTGAAAGGAGAAGGGGGTTTGGGAATTGGAAATGCAAAACTGAAGAATGTGGCTCTGTTGAGTAAGTGGTTCTGGAGGTTCCCCAAAGAAAATGAGAAATTGTGGACTAGAGTTATTCCAAGTATCCATGGGCAATCAAGCAATGGTTGGAATGTGGGCTGCCTGCAGAGAGCTACCTTGGCTGCACCCTGGAAGGCCATCCACGACGTTCTTCCTTTGTTTCTTCCCCATATAAGGTATGATTTGGCTTGGGTCAGAAAATCAGATTCTGGGAGAACATCTGGATTGGGGACTCCCCCTTGTCAGAGGTCTTCCCTTCCCTCTTTGCTCTCTCCAGACTCAAGGGTAAACCTATTAGTGATTTTATCAGCTTTTCTTCTTCCTCTTCAAACTTGAGTTGGAATTTGGGCTTTATTAGAAATCTAAGAGAATCTGAAATCTCTAGTGTCTCTACCTTGGTTAACCTGTTGAATTCAGTAATTTTGGGGGATAGTGTTTCAGATTCTAGAGTTTGGGCCCTCAATGAGTGAGGTTCTTTTTCTTGCAAATCTTTCTTGAACTCTCTTGTTGCCACCTCCTCTCCTTCTTTCCCTGTTAAGGAGATTTGGTTTTGGCCCATTCCTCTTAAAGTCAGTGCTTTCTGTTGGGAAGTATTCCATGGTTCCATCAATACTTATGACTTGCTTCAGAGAGAAAGACCAAAGTGATGCTTGTCCCCAAACTGGTGCTCCTTATGTAAGCTGAATGGTGAGACTGCTCTTCACCTCTTTATCTCCTACCTTTTGCTAATTCTATTTGGGAGTGGTTTTCCTCTCTGTTTGGTTGCAGCTGGAATCCTCCTGCTAATCTAGAAGATCTTTTCAGCTCCAACATTTTCAGGTGTTCTAAGAGGAGAGGAAAAGTGATGGAAAAATGCACTAGAGCAGCAGTGGCCTGGACAATCTGGGAGGAAAGAAATCTAAGGATATTTGATGATTAGGAAAGAGGTAGAGATGCTGTGATTGAAGTGATAACTATAAGGGTGGCACATTGAGTGAAAACTTTGAAAAATATTTGCAGATTTTAAGACAGAAGATTTCTTCAGATCATGTGGAACAATTGCAAATATGGCTTCTAGAAGTCCTAAGGTAACTGAATTTTGGTCCCCTCCAGATGTTGGGTGAAAGAAACTAAACTTTGATGGGAGCTGTTTGGGAAACCCTGGCCCATTGGGAATTGGTGGGGTAATAAGGTAGGAGAATGGAAATATCATTGCCATGTTCTCAGGCCCTACTCAACATGGTGATGTGGTGAATTCAAAATTGAAGGCAGCAGTGTTTGGTGTTGAGAAAGCTAAAGAGTTGGGGATTGACAGGTTGATTATTGAAGGGGACTCAAAAGTCATTGTAAACTGGCTGAAAAAACAGGAAGGAGCAATCTGGAGATTAAGAAATGAGTTCAGGCGCTTTAAGCAGGTTTCCAAAGATATGGAAATTCACATAAGATGGATTAGGAGGTCAACTAATAGCATGGCTGATGGTCTAGCTAAGCAAGGAGTCCAAAGGCAATCTATGTTCTGGGCTATGTTGTAGCTAGTGGGATATCCCTTAGGTCCTTTTGGGGCTTGTTTGTAACTAATGAATTTCTTTGTTGGGTTAAGCTTGGGTCTGTATTGTAATTAGTGGGGTTTAGGTGGACTTTATGTCTACCCACAACTTCTTGTTGTACACATTAATCTAATGAATCTTTTTGTGTTGCTAATCAAAAGAGAAAAAAAAAAAGAAACAAGAGGCTGTTTGAAAGAAAGGAAAGAAGCACTGAAGAGATTGTGGCTTCAGTTGGCAAACTCATGACAAGCTGGGTCATTTCTCTTCCAGAATTTGAGCAAACCAGACCTTCATACTTTGCTGATAATATTTGGGACATTTTAGAGATTCAAACTTGTAATGTGAATCAGTTCAATCTGAACTGAAGTTTTTGATGTATGTTTGCTTTGATTTAGGGTGTTATCTTGACACATGTACAGCTTGTTAACTGTTTTTGTTTTGATAAAATTTTACTTTTATTCTTAAAAAAAAAAATGCTCTCTTCATCACCCCTGCTCCTGTCCTCCCCTCCTTGTTGGAAGGCAAAGAAAGAGAAGGATTGGGACTTACCTACGAATTCAGCTATGCAACTATCTCGAGAGATTTTTCACCAGGCGGAAGTCTTTCACATTCTACCTTGGATTGCTTTACTATGTTCTTGATTTTGGTCTTCCTTGCCAACTGCCCATGAACTCATCTCCGCCTCAGGGTCTGTGTTTCCAACCTGATGAACATCTTCACTTTGAGGGGAAGCAGCTGCAACTCTGCAAGCACCTTCGATCTTCTTTCTTCTATGACTGAGATCTTTTATCCTTTCTCAGACCTTGTTACAATCCATATCCATTGGTCTTCTTAACTTCCCCTCTTTTTTCAAAACTTTCTAACTCTTTGGACTCTAGATCCCATTA